AATTCAAGAGTCTTATCATAAAACACTTTCAAGTGTCATCATCATTAATGGAATAAAAAAAATGTGAAATCATACGTTCTTCCCACCATCCCACTCCACCTCCTCGTTATCCCTCTCACTCTACCCACTCCCACTCCTGCATCATCCTGTTCATGAAGCTCCACTCATCTACCTATCTAACAATACATCAGATGATGCGCTTGCAGTCAGAACAACAAACAAGAATTTTTTCCCTTCTATTTATGGCTCCTTTCTCCCTTTGCAACTATCGTCATCCCTGCACCCTACATCCTTCGCCTCCTTCCTCTCCTCCCTCCTCTTTCACTGTTGTTACTTTTATTTCTCTTAATGGTGAATTCAACAATCATGAAATACCGCCCTATTTATTTCCCTCTGCCAATTCGCGAAGTCACTTCCTCCTTTCTTCCATCGTAAATTCATCGTCCTCATTGACCTGACTATGTTCATCGGGATAAATGTTTGTTTTCCCATCACATTTTGGTTTAACAACCGAAAGTTCATTTATCTTTGTAAAGTCCAATCGTGCCCAATATGTTCGACGACATCTAGGACATTGGCGATTCAAAGATTCCATCAATACAATCACAGTCTCATTGAGTCTTCTTTTATGTTCTTTATTCATGCTCGCAAGAATATTCAACTCCTTCTTGACATTGCTTAACTCCTCCATAAATTGTTTTGGTGAATGAGCTAGCACGACGTCACCAAGCAATTTCCTAAGTTGGTACACCTGCTCATTGTGACGTTGAGCCCAATAAAACCTGGATTGGTAATCCCAGCGGTCACCGAATTTGTCCACAAACACGACATCCATCAACTCTTCGCGTGCCTCCTTATACAATTGGCCAAGATTGACCATCGTTGCCCTCATCTGATTGTCACTCACAGGAAACTGCATGGCATTTTGCACCTCCAACATTGCATTTCTGTGAGCCAGCTCAGAACCAACAGTTCGAAGTGAATATAATATCGCAATCAGATCGCTTTTCGGAAGAGCCTCAAAACTTTCAGTCGATCGAAAATCGAAGACTGCATTCCGAGAAGATGGATCTTCCCACGCCAGGCCACGACAAGACAACAATCTCCTCACTGCACATTCCGCCTTTTCAAGTCGCCGACGCAAACCATCACACTTTTCCAGCAGGTGGGGATGAACTTGGGTGCTATACTTAACAATCTCATCAATTAAATCATCTCGAATCTTCGACCTCATCCAAGAATGAATCTGCATCTCCATGTCCATATTAACTTTTGGCTCCTCTTTGACATGCACAGTATCGGGCACAAAGGAATCTCTCACCTCATCGTTTCGTTCCTCTTGAAGGAATTTTTCGATGACCGACTTTGCGTTGAGCTCAATGTTAGCCAACGCACTCTTAATTGCATCCAGTTCCACCTCCTTCTTCTTCAATATATCCAACAACTCATCCTGAGTCCAACGAAGTCCTTGGTTGTCCGTAATGAACCTACCAAATACTTCCCTCCAGGTATGATCATTTGGAACCTTACCCACCACACCATACCGCACCACAACATTCGATTGATGGCGACGTTGTTCCATATCATGCATCTCCCTTGCCATGGTATACTCGTACTGTTCACAATCTTGGACGTACTTATACATTTTAGAATCATCATCATAGAGGTAATGATCGTACGAAACATCAAAATTATTTGCTTCATCGATATGCATCGGCACATCGGAGCGTGATGATCCCGCACCTGCTCTCCGACCATGTGTCTCGACCACGGAGTTATGTTGAGCGGACGCTTGACCATCTGCGCCCACCACTACGAACAACAAAGAATACGCCAAGTGCAAATTAGATGACTGTCTGCATGGGGCGTCTGTGGGTCAGCGCCAGGTCAACGTCCGCCGATAATTATCGGCATGGAGCAGACGCTTGACCATCTGCGCCCACCACTACGAACAACAAAGAATACGCCAAGTGCAAATTAGATGACTGTCTGCATGGGGCGTCTGTGGGTCAGCGCCAGGTCAACGTCCGCCGATAATTATCGGCATGGAGCAGACGCTTGACCATCTGCGCCCACCACTACGAACAACAAAGAATACGCCAAGTGCAAATTAGATGACTGTCTGCATGGGGCGTCTGTGGGTCAGCGCCAGGTCAACGTCCGCCGATAATTATCGGCATGGAGCAGACGCTTGACCATCTGCGCCCACCACTACGAACAACAAAGAATACGCCAAGTGCAAATTAGATGACTGTCTGCATGGGGCGTCTGTGGGTCAGCGCCAGGTCAACGTCCGCCGATAATTATCGGCATGGAGCAGACGCTTGACCATCTGCGCCCACCACTACGAACAACAAAGAATACGCCAAGTGCAAATTAGATGACTGTCTGCATGGGGCGTCTGTGGGTCAGCGCCAGGTCAACGTCCGCCGATAATTATCGGCATGGAGCAGACGCTTGACCATCTGCGCCCACCACTACGAACAACAAAGAATACGCCAAGTGCAAATTAGATGACTGTCTGCATGGGGCGTCTGTGGGTCAGCGCCAGGTCAACGTCCGCCGATAATTATCGGCATGGAGCAGACGCTTGACCATCTGCGCCCACCACTACGAACAACAAAGAATACGCCAAGTGCAAATTAGATGACTGTCTGCATGGGGCGTCTGTGGGTCAGCGCCAGGTCAACGTCCGCCGATAATTATCGGCATGGAGCAGACGCTTGACCATCTGCGCCCACCACTACGAACAACAAAGAATACGCCAAGTGCAAATTAGATGACTGTCTGCATGGGGCGTCTGTGGGTCAGCGCCAGGTCAACGTCCGCCGATAATTATCGGCATGGAGCAGACGCTTGACCATCTGCGCCCACCACTACGAACAACAAAGAATACGCCAAGTGCAAATTAGATGACTGTCTGCATGGGGCGTCTGTGGGTCAGCGCCAGGTCAACGTCCGCCGATAATTATCGGCATGGAGCAGACGCTTGACCATCTGCGCCCACCACTACGAACAACAAAGAATACGCCAAGTGCAAATTAGATGACTGTCTGCATGGGGCGTCTGTGGGTCAGCGCCAGGTCAACGTCCGCCGATAATTATCGGCATGGAGCAGACGCTTGACCATCTGCGCCCACCACTACGAACAACAAAGAATACGCCAAGTGCAAATTAGATGACTGTCTGCATGGGGCGTCTGTGGGTCAGCGCCAGGTCAACGTCCGCCGATAATTATCGGCATGGAGCAGACGCTTGACCATCTGCGCCCACCACTACGAACAACAAAGAATACGCCAAGTGCAAATTAGATGACTGTCTGCATGGGGCGTCTGTGGGTCAGCGCCAGGTCAACGTCCGCCGATAATTATCGGCATGGAGCAGACGCTTGACCATCTGCGCCCACCACTACGAACAACAAAGAATACGCCAAGTGCAAATTAGATGACTGTCTGCATGGGGCGTCTGTGGGTCAGCGCCAGGTCAACGTCCGCCGATAATTATCGGCATGGAGCAGACGCTTGACCATCTGCGCCCACCACTACGAACAACAAAGAATACGCCAAGTGCAAATTAGATGACTGTCTGCATGGGGCGTCTGTGGGTCAGCGCCAGGTCAACGTCCGCCGATAATTATCGGCATGGAGCAGACGCTTGACCATCTGCGCCCACCACTACGAACAACAAAGAATACGCCAAGTGCAAATTAGATGACTGTCTGCATGGGGCGTCTGTGGGTCAGCGCCAGGTCAACGTCCGCCGATAATTATCGGCATGGAGCAGACGCTTGACCATCTGCGCCCACCACTACGAACAACAAAGAATACGCCAAGTGCAAATTAGATGACTGTCTGCATGGGGCGTCTGTGGGTCAGCGCCAGGTCAACGTCCGCCGATAATTATCGGCATGGAGCAGACGCTTGACCATCTGCGCCCACCACTACGAACAACAAAGAATACGCCAAGTGCAAATTAGATGACTGTCTGCATGGGGCGTCTGTGGGTCAGCGCCAGGTCAACGTCCGCCGATAATTATCGGCATGGAGCAGACGCTTGACCATCTGCGCCCACCACTACGAACAACAAAGAATACGCCAAGTGCAAATTAGATGACTGTCTGCATGGGGCGTCTGTGGGTCAGCGCCAGGTCAACGTCCGCCGATAATTATCGGCATGGAGCAGACGCTTGACCATCTGCGCCCACCACTACGAACAACAAAGAATACGCCAAGTGCAAATTAGATGACTGTCTGCATGGGGCGTCTGTGGGTCAGCGCCAGGTCAACGTCCGCCGATAATTATCGGCATGGAGCAGACGCTTGACCATCTGCGCCCACCACTACGAACAACAAAGAATACGCCAAGTGCAAATTAGATGACTGTCTGCATGGGGCGTCTGTGGGTCAGCGCCAGGTCAACGTCCGCCGATAATTATCGGCATGGAGCAGACGCTTGACCATCTGCGCCCACCACTACGAACAACAAAGAATACGCCAAGTGCAAATTAGATGACTGTCTGCATGGGGCGTCTGTGGGTCAGCGCCAGGTCAACGTCCGCCGATAATTATCGGCATGGAGCAGACGCTTGACCATCTGCGCCCACCACTACGAACAACAAAGAATACGCCAAGTGCAAATTAGATGACTGTCTGCATGGGGCGTCTGTGGGTCAGCGCCAGGTCAACGTCCGCCGATAATTATCGGCATGGAGCAGACGCTTGACCATCTGCGCCCACCACTACGAACAACAAAGAATACGCCAAGTGCAAATTAGATGACTGTCTGCATGGGGCGTCTGTGGGTCAGCGCCAGGTCAACGTCCGCCGATAATTATCGGCATGGAGCAGACGCTTGACCATCTGCGCCCACCACTACGAACAACAAAGAATACGCCAAGTGCAAATTAGATGACTGTCTGCATGGGGCGTCTGTGGGTCAGCGCCAGGTCAACGTCCGCCGATAATTATCGGCATGGAGCAGACGCTTGACCATCTGCGCCCACCACTACGAACAACAAAGAATACGCCAAGTGCAAATTAGATGACTGTCTGCATGGGGCGTCTGTGGGTCAGCGCCAGGTCAACGTCCGCCGATAATTATCGGCATGGAGCAGACGCTTGACCATCTGCGCCCACCACTACGAACAACAAAGAATACGCCAAGTGCAAATTAGATGACTGTCTGCATGGGGCGTCTGTGGGTCAGCGCCAGGTCAACGTCCGCCGATAATTATCGGCATGGAGCAGACGCTTGACCATCTGCGCCCACCACTACGAACAACAAAGAATACGCCAAGTGCAAATTAGATGACTGTCTGCATGGGGCGTCTGTGGGTCAGCGCCAGGTCAACGTCCGCCGATAATTATCGGCATGGAGCAGACGCTTGACCATCTGCGCCCACCACTACGAACAACAAAGAATACGCCAAGTGCAAATTAGATGACTGTCTGCATGGGGCGTCTGTGGGTCAGCGCCAGGTCAACGTCCGCCGATAATTATCGGCATGGAGCAGACGCTTGACCATCTGCGCCCACCACTACGAACAACAAAGAATACGCCAAGTGCAAATTAGATGACTGTCTGCATGGGGCGTCTGTGGGTCAGCGCCAGGTCAACGTCCGCCGATAATTATCGGCATGGAGCAGACGCTTGACCATCTGCGCCCACCACTACGAACAACAAAGAATACGCCAAGTGCAAATTAGATGACTGTCTGCATGGGGCGTCTGTGGGTCAGCGCCAGGTCAACGTCCGCCGATAATTATCGGCATGGAGCAGACGCTTGACCATCTGCGCCCACCACTACGAACAACAAAGAATACGCCAAGTGCAAATTAGATGACTGTCTGCATGGGGCGTCTGTGGGTCAGCGCCAGGTCAACGTCCGCCGATAATTATCGGCATGGAGCAGACGCTTGACCATCTGCGCCCACCACTACGAACAACAAAGAATACGCCAAGTGCAAATTAGATGACTGTCTGCATGGGGCGTCTGTGGGTCAGCGCCAGGTCAACGTCCGCCGATAATTATCGGCATGGAGCAGACGCTTGACCATCTGCGCCCACCACTACGAACAACAAAGAATACGCCAAGTGCAAATTAGATGACTGTCTGCATGGGGCGTCTGTGGGTCAGCGCCAGGTCAACGTCCGCCGATAATTATCGGCATGGAGCAGACGCTTGACCATCTGCGCCCACCACTACGAACAACAAAGAATACGCCAAGTGCAAATTAGATGACTGTCTGCATGGGGCGTCTGTGGGTCAGCGCCAGGTCAACGTCCGCCGATAATTATCGGCATGGAGCAGACGCTTGACCATCTGCGCCCACCACTACGAACAACAAAGAATACGCCAAGTGCAAATTAGATGACTGTCTGCATGGGGCGTCTGTGGGTCAGCGCCAGGTCAACGTCCGCCGATAATTATCGGCATGGAGCAGACGCTTGACCATCTGCGCCCACCACTACGAACAACAAAGAATACGCCAAGTGCAAATTAGATGACTGTCTGCATGGGGCGTCTGTGGGTCAGCGCCAGGTCAACGTCCGCCGATAATTATCGGCATGGAGCAGACGCTTGACCATCTGCGCCCACCACTACGAACAACAAAGAATACGCCAAGTGCAAATTAGATGACTGTCTGCATGGGGCGTCTGTGGGTCAGCGCCAGGTCAACGTCCGCCGATAATTATCGGCATGGAGCAGACGCTTGACCATCTGCGCCCACCACTACGAACAACAAAGAATACGCCAAGTGCAAATTAGATGACTGTCTGCATGGGGCGTCTGTGGGTCAGCGCCAGGTCAACGTCCGCCGATAATTATCGGCATGGAGCAGACGCTTGACCATCT